TAAGCCTAAGGGAAGAGTTCTTAATGTATTTTGGATGTGCTTGACACTATTAAGCCTACACAAGTTACGCAGGAGAGTCCAAGGATTTCTGAAAACAGTTGTGCTGCTGCTCTTTCAGAGCCCCTTAACATGAGATTAAGACGCCCTACGCTCTCCGGGATCTCTGCTTGAACGACGCAGGATGACAGCAAATTTGGAAGACCTGATTTGAGTCAGGTCCTGCTATTAGCACTCAGTGCAGGTTTTCATCCATCCTGTGACATGACACAGGAATCCCATCTGAACTTTAATGTTTCTCAGGAACTTACCTGAGTGCCTTATATACCCAAGAGGCTTGCTATTTATGTCAAATCGCTTAAAGCTGCACAATTCTCCAAGCTCGCATGTGCAAGAGTGTAGCTACGCAGACATTTTTGTTGATCACGCTGAGCTAAATGTAAGTTGTTGTTTTTTTGAGTCATCCAACATTTACAGCAAGTTTCACATTAAACCCTCATCATCTTCATCACTTAATACAATACGAAGGTTCTGTTTGAGAGCATCGCACATGAAGAGCACAATCCCCAAGTTCCCTCATCTGCACAATTTGGGGATGTTTGTTGCCACCTATATATATATATATATATGCTGCTGAATTCGCGAGGTATAGAAAGAATCCTCATTCTATTTTTCATTGTTGACCCCAGTCCACTGTGTATCTTGTTATAAACAGAGCCAGGAATTATATAACATATATGTTAGAAAACAGATTGATAGCTACATTATTATATAAAATTATATTGTTGTCTATGCAATTTTTTTTTTCAAAGTTTTTCTCCTGTTTTCAAAGACAACATTGGCTTCAAGATAAAATACATATTCATTTATGTAAATGAATCTGAATATTTTATCATATGGGAACAAGTCATGCAATAAGAAAAACTAATTCAACATTAAGACTGTTTAGCTTGTTGAGACAATAACTCCCTTTGTTTCAGCTCATTTTTAGTGCGTCTGACAAAGACCTTGATGCAACTAAATATTTACCTTCATGTCTAATTTACATTACATAATTTTTTGTTGTTGAATAATGTTTACTTCTAGGAATCACTGCTGCTTATTTCCCAAGAGCTTGAGCATTAAAATAAATAAATAAATAAAATAAAAAACAGCCTACTAAACATAGTGGGGCATGTCATCAAAACTCAGTGATTTGCCAAATAAATGAGTCGCAGCAACATGGCCTTGACACCAGCATGCAATTTCGTCTTGCTATTGCCCGCGCTGATCAGTAAAATTGCACCATACCTGCAGTGATGCATCTGGCTCTTGACGGTAGCTGTGAAGGAAAGGTCAGCAGCTTGTGGTTTATTTTCGAGTTGCAACATCAAAGATGTGCAGTCGTGATTGATACGAGTGTGGGAGCTACACCTTGTGAACACGGAGAGCAAAGGCCCTTGATTTGGGATCATATGTGCTCCAACAGACCGGGAGATCCTTGATGATAACAATCAAAGTCGATCGAGGCAGAGGACCAACGACAAAGAAGAAAAGACCTTGCGCTGTCATATAAAAAGAGATTCATCTGTGTGCATTCATTATTTGATGACTAAATGAAACCCGGTGCCAAGTTGGAGGATTCACTTTACTGCAGGTTATATGTCTCACTTCAGAGACATTTGTTTTGTCTATAAAGCATATTTAAAAACCTAACAACGTAGCTTTGGCAGTAACCCGCTATCACACAGGATATGTTGTTCTTAAAGCTGCTTTGAACAAAAGCAACATCTCTTGTTGAAAGGTTTTGTAGCATACACTCAGTTAAATCCAGACATTTACAGAAACTATACCACCAAAAGTCTTCGCTCATCTGCTTTCATATATATATTAATAAGTTAAATCCAGTAGTTTTAACCTTTGAAATGTGTTCTGATGTTGGCCAAGCCTTTGCAGTTCATTGAGTTAAGCTGCAGTACAGGCAAATTCACACAACATTCAAAGCTGACTGAACTGTTCTGGTACTTAACCTGAAATTGTGCCCTTTGGTCAGATGAGGAAAAAAAAAAAAAGACAAACAATATACTTCTCAAACATGAAGCAATCAATAAACACAAAATTACCTCTTGTCTGTTGTGAAGTATAAACTTTTCCAAATGCCCTGGTAGTCAAATTCTTGTGTGGGACGTCATAAACTCTGTCAAATACCTGGGGATTTTTAAATATGAATCTGCAGCAACTGAAAAATTATCCTAATCATATGGCCAAATCACACTGACCTTGCCTGACATAAACACAGCCATGTTCCATAGCCATCACATCCTAAGTCCCAATATTTAAATGATCCACAGTGATTAGGCAAAGAGGAATACTAAGGATTCTTCTTTATATTTCAAACTAGTTAATTAATACAGGAGAGGACTCATGTTGGCGAAAGGAGTTTGAACGAAGCATTGAAACTAGTTACCTAAAACTGTGAAATACTGTCATATATTAACAAAATAAAAAAAATTTAAAGTTTGAATTTAGTGAGATTATGTGACTGCAATAAACACAATCTATTTTATTTATTTTTTAACAACTGATGCTAGCAAACAACATTTCTTGTACCATCATTGAAGTTTAATTATATTAGCTACTTCATGCTGGTGGGGGAAAAAGTTGCTTTTAATCCAAATTGGCTCTTCCACCTTTGGGTAAAATAAATTGTGCCATATATGAAAAAATAAAATAAAATCGCATTAGTTATAGCTCTAGATTGCTGTGGATGCATTGCAAAACCCTGTTTAAAAATTTGGTTTTCTTCCTCCAACAAAAAGCGAAATGCGTTCTGCCGCAGCGAAGGAATCCGCGATGCAAATGACTGTTCTCTCGCTGCAGCGGAAGCAGCAGGAGGCATTCTGCCACCACAAAAACCCTCTGAGCGTAGGTTGGGGCACAGCTGCGTTTCATCCATCGCACTGTAAGCATGATCATGAAAAATGTATCCATGTGTTAACTTTTTGTTAGATGAACAAGTAAGATCTGGTATAATTAAGAAAATGTATTTTATTTTATTTTTTTCTAAATCTGTGCTGTCAAACAACTGACACCGATTTTACATTTCAGTCAAATCTGACTCTCCAGCAATGACACCTCGGTAGAAAAATACTGGTGAGAGTCATTGTCTCCTTGTGTCAGAAGGATGCTGCATTTAGTCGCTTAAGGCTTTCAAAACATTGATTCTAAGAAATCAAGCTGAGAAATAGTTCTTCAAAAATAACAGTTTAAATATCTTCAAAAACTGCTGCAGATAAAAAAAAAGCATTGATGTCATTCCTCCTCCTTTCGCCCTAAGAGCAAAACCTTTGATGCAAAAAGCTAGAAGATCAAAATGTCATCACTGCATCAGCAGCTTCTTGCGTGAACGTTTAAGGTCAGAGATTGATTGCACACCTGACCTGGATTTTAAGATTGGACCTGAAAGATTTTGTTCAAGTTTAGCATTGGAAGAAAAAAAAAAACAAAAAAAAAAAAAAACAGAAGTTTGCCAAAGACCTTTAAGAAATGGGTCGGGTCTAACTAAATAATTTTAGCGAGCTCTTCGTCACAGGAGAAGCAAGAAATATTTGGTGCAGAACAAAGACTGAGGAAAACCTGATTGTTTGGAGGCTGTTTCACAAACTCAAAGCTTGGCAATTTGAAACCACAGACTCAATAAGTGGTGCTGTGTTGCGTCTGAGTGCTAGAGGAAAATGTTGGATCCTATGTCGAAAACATGGGAGTTTAGCCAGAAACAAAGCTGTCAAGAAACAAAGCTGTGAGCATAGATAATTTTTCTCACAGGGAGATAACAAGCTTGTGAGGGTTTCGCCACAGAGGAATATTTCTGATTCAGAGAGAACCCACTGTTTTCTGGTTGAAAAATGTTAGAAGTCCACAATTGCTGTGCAATTTTACCTCAGTTAACTTCCACAAAACCAGAAGCTACTTTCTTAAAATTTAGAGATAATTTTCTAGGTAAGATTACTTGAACCTAAAGGAAAAATGTTTAAGAATAACTGGTACTTTTTCCCTGAAAATGTTTAGGAAAGTACTTATTAAGTTTCAATAAAGACTCAGAAAAGTACCTGGAAATGTGCTTAAAATGTTTTGAGCCTTTCCTGAAATGAGGTAACTGAGGTCTGTAAAAATGAACTGTAAGTTCTACGAAAGCTTTGTGTTAGCTAAATGAAAGAACGTTCACTTCAGCTCCCAGAAAGCAGCTGATAAGTTCTGAAAAAGTTTCAAATCTCAGTTGAAGTAAAGTTTATAACATAGCGCCACTGGATCAACGACGAAGACGAGGCTCAATGCAATGCAAATATGTTCCTCCTACCTCTGAATAAACTACCCCGCGTTTATTATTTCTTGTCAGCTACTTTACGCTGCAACTAAGGTCAACGCATAACAACAACCGCTGTCGGTAAACACTTCTATTCCCCACGTGTGTGTTCATGTACAGCATAAGACCTAAATTATATTTGCCTCCAAGTTATTCTGCTTTATGTCCCCTTTGGACCCGAGGGTTAAAATAAAACTCGTATACCGAGCACACCGAGGACTGAGGAGCGAACACATAATGACACACTCACGGTTGGCCAAACCACGGTGGCGTATTTGATTTTCCTCAGAAATTTGATTTAATATCTCATTAGGTGTAATAAGGATGAAGTGCTATCATGCTATGTTTTACTCCCTTCCCAAAACAACTCCCTCAAAGGTGCTGAAGAGGGGAAGTCTTGGGAAAACAAAAAAGACCGCGCGGCGTCGGCGGAGGCTTATTTTAGCAACAGGAAACACGTGCGCTTTTGTCAGACTCGTTCGGTTGTGCCGGGCAAGGCCGGGCCTAATTAAAGTGTTCTGCTCTGCGGAGTCCCATGCCGGTCCTGGGCGTGCAGACGCTCCCTTATTCTTTCCATCCATCACATCTACTGTAATTACTTTTGTTTACAGTGGAGGAAACGGCAGCTGTCTGATTAGAAGTTATTGAGGAGATAACTCACAGGTAATTTTGAAACGGCGCTCAGCTTTTTTTCTCTCCAGGATGCAGATGAATCATTTCCTGTGTGTGGCGTGGGGAGGGGCAGGACGACGGCGAGGAGGACGCTCCCGGAGAATGACCCCGACAAATTACCGAGGGGCTGTCGGATCTCTGAGCCGTTTTTCCTCTGGAGTTTTTTCTTCTTCTTCTTCTTCTCCTTCTTCTTCTTCCTCTCAGCTTTTCTCCTTGGCGTTGATAGGTTTTCTATTACTGAGGCAGAAATGAAGAGTTTGCAAAACAGTGTAATTAGCTGGAGTCTTCATTGAAGTATGAAGAATTATTACGATTTATTTATTTATTTATTTATTTATTCCAAAGAGCAGTTTGTGTTTCCAGTTATTTTTCTGGAATTGACATATTCCAGAAAAATCTGCCTGATAGAGGCACAAAAATAAATAAATAAATAAATAAAATCTTGCCCAATAACCAATCGTGACCCAGCAGCACAGAGTGACTCCATTTCAGCATGCCATAATTGATAATGTTTTATTTTATTCTCTTTTTTTAATAATTTGCACCTCATGTCCATATAGTACAATGGAGTTATTGGAAGAAATGGCTTTTTCACTACTGATGAAGAAAATGAATCCGCACAATATCAAATGTGTGATCAATACAGCCGTATCCACCTCCAGTAAAAAGAATCAATAGTGTAACAACAATATGACAACTCTTTTTAAGACCCACTGCAGATCCAGGAAACTCTAAATAGAATACGGCAAGTGATTTTACACTTTTTTACTGTTTTTTTTATGTTCAATAAATGTAATATGTTATTTCTCCTTTCAGCTAATGCTCCCTTAAAAAGGGAAAATAGAAAAGAAATCAAAGGCTTTAAAAACAAACTCTTGTACCTTATTCACATTTTGAATCTATCTTGTAAGAATAAAATATTAGAAGGTTTTGTCTATTTTACTAATTAAATAAACATAAATAGAATGTGGATTTGTTTTTCACAGAATCATATGTTTTAAAGGGGCAGTATTATATACAATCAACTTTTTTTTTTAGCTTTACATCATGTTATTCCCTCATCAAAAACATACCTGGAGTGTTGCCTTGATTCTTTTAAACATGTTTGAGAAATCCTTTAATCTCCCATGGCAACCATTCAACTATGCAAAATGCCTGGTTGGACCTAGCCCCGCCTTCAAAGTGGAGCTCCTTCAGACTAGCCAGCAGCAATTAGCAAACACCTATTGGAACTGTGCAGCTGCTGAGCTCATTATGCTAGCTACCTCTCAGTGCAATGCTGTTAAAAAAAATTGTTAAAAGGTTAATAGAGGAGTCATGTTGTGATGACTTCCTGAAAGCAGAGGTTCTGATAGAGCAGGAGTTTTTAAAGAGACAGAGGCCCAATTTCAAGGCATTAAATCAGTGAGTAAAATTTTTCTTTGAAGCCATATTTGATTTATATAGTGAGCTATGAAATGGCACAGTGTGTCTAGAAAACACCTAATACTGCCCCTGTAAGCATCTGTTTCTGATCATTATGCACCCAGTGCTCAGTGAAGGAACCTGTGAAATGAGTTGCTGCATTAATTCTTCCTGGCATTGAGGAGACCAAACTTCCAGGCGTTAAGGAAGCCCTGGCTGCTTTAAAGGTGACCTTCAACTTTAGTCCTTTGTCTCTCATCTTCCTCTCGATAACACTCCACTGCTCCTCTACGGGGTTTACATCGGGCTGGTTTGCTGGCCAGCCGAACACAGACAGGGACACCATGATAATTAAAGCAGGTGTTTCTGGCAGAGCGAGCCTGTGTGACAAGTCCTGCTCTGGAAAATGAAATCAGTATATCCATGAAGCTTGTCAACAGAGGGAAGGAAGACGTGCCTCGTAGCAGTCTGACTTGATAAGACACAGTAGAGCAACAACAGGTGATGACATGGCTGCTCACAACAGAACTGACTGGGGAACTTTCAGGCTGGACCTCAAGCTATCCTTTCCACTGCGCGCCTCTCCACTCTTCCACCAGACTCTGAATGAGGTCATTTTGAAGTTAGCTTTTTTTTCTCCAGAAGGCAGATGAATCATTTTCTTTATGTGGAAATGCTAAATCTGTTTTCATCTGAGCAACAAATCCCATTTTCTTTTCGTCTTAGTGCAGATGAGAAGTTGTTTTAAAAAATCCCTCTCTGGTTCAGGGTGTACTTATCCCTGTTGCCTTTTCATCGTTTTCTAATTAACTTTTTCCATCCACTTAACTTTCTACCAAAATGCTCAGATAGACTTATCTGAACAGCCGGCTTCTTTAAAAAAGTTCTTTTGCGGCTTAAGCCTCCTGTGTTTGAAGGACAACATAAATTGTGTGTATTAAAAATTATTTTTACTTTTAGTTTTATGTCAAATTCTTCTTTATCTGAAAAAAACCCTTTGCATTTGGCTTATCTGTAAGTCATAATCTCTGTAATCAACAGAAATAAACGCTTGAATTGTAACTCAACGTGTGCAACAGCTCCCAACGACACCGTACGGGAGTTTTGAGCTGAATTACAGAAACAAATGAACTTTCAATGATGCTCTAATCTATGAAGATGCACCTGTAGCAGCGAGTCGGCCGTACTCCTGTTTGAAATCGGCTGGACCGCTGTTTTGCTAATTGATCAAGGGCAATGAAATGAGCTCTTTGTGGTCTACAGTAGCCTCTGTCCTTGAGGACTGATTGGGTTCACTCAATTAATGCCTGTAATTGGACTGTTTGGAATGTCAGCATAGCCAGTGTTACTTTGACAGTGATTTAATTTGACATGTTAATCAATCATCAACATGGCTGGTGCACACGCTCACCAAGATGTTAACAAGGGAGTGATATTGCAAGGAGAACAAGGTGTTGCGATACGTTTGCACTTCATTTATTGATTTATTTTCCCGTTTCATCTTTGGACATTGTTGCCAGGCGTCTCGGCGGTGGAACAAGGAAATGAACATGAACGTGAAAAAATATCTCGCTAATAAATTACTGTGTGCTTAACATGAGGCCTGCAGTTCTTTGAATTGCCTCACTTTAGACCCCATGTGCACCATTCATTTGTTTTGTTGTCCTTGTTGTTTTTCCAGTGCCTCCTCATGTGCAAATATTAAAACTGTGAAAACTACTTTAGTGGACTTGCTGTTAGCATAGCAGATCTCCTTCCTTTGCCAAGGTGTTAGATTAATTACTTTGCTTTAATGGGCCCCACTACTGGGCACTAGTAATTAAAAGATAATGATTGGTCTCTTTGAATGTTACAAATAAAGATGCACAGACTCATTTGTGTATTTCAGGTTGTTCAATAGAAGATTAGGCCCGGTGTGAGGACGTGTGGGTGTTGGGGTTACTTGCTATTTCTGCCAAACTGGCTGTGCTTTCCTTTGCAGTGTGTCTCAGGAATCCACACAGGAACAACCCTGGACACGAATAATGAATAGACACATCTGTTCATCTGTTCAGTGGTATCCACCTCTGTGTCTGATGGAGAGGTGGCCGAGGTCTAAATCTTTATCTTCCCGCCTTTCTTTTTACGTATGCTTATAGGTCCTTTTCAGACTTTTTAAAAATTCCTACGTCACGTCCTTAAACATAATAAAAAATGACTAACAACGTACTATTTTACCTTATATTTGAGAGGCCAAAGGCTGAATCGCATAAGCCACTGAAATGCTAAATGAAATGGAAATCAAGCAGAACAGCAAAAGTGCATGGAGGGTCTCGTCCCCTGAAACGGTACCTTGTTTTACCAGACGCTTGCTGCGTTTTCATTACAAATGTGAGCAAAACTTTCTCCATATTTCGCTGATGTCGAAAAAACGCAATTTTTTCGACATCAGGGGTATTTTTGTTAAAAACTACAAAATGATCTGCAGAAGATCATTAAGTTTTGTTCAAGTAAAAAGTCATTAAAAAACATGACGCTATAATCCTCCAACTACTTCCTGTTGTGGGCTCAGTTCCGTTAATGCACAAAAAAACACATCTACCTTCTAGCGCCAAAATGTTTTATTGGAAAACAAGAGGTTTTTTTTTAATTGCAGTGTTTCCAGTTGGCAAATTTGTTTTCGAATTGTCAAATTGCACAATTACATGGTCAATAAAAATGCAGCTACTGAGATGTGATTAGGGTAAAGTAAGGTAAGGTAATTTTATTTATATAGCACATTTTCAGCAAGAAGGCAATTCAAAGTGCTTTATGAATTACTAGAAAACACACAAAAAAAACAAACTAAAGGAAAGAGCAAAAGAAGAAAAAAGAAAACAAAAATACTATAACCCCATGTTTAAGTTCTAATAATGTTGATCTAAGGTAATGAGTAAAGGCTAGATAAGCTAAGAGTTTCTCTGGATTCTAAGTTTGTTCTAATTCCTGCTGATTATATATTGCTGATCATTTCTTCTATTTCACAATCTGTGTTGCTTTTCTACAATCTAAATGCATTTGATCATCAATATTTGATCAACATGACTAAAATGAAAATGTAACTCCTATCCAAAGGTCACAGCTTTTCATTTAGCCATACTGTAGAAACCAATCACATTACAATTGCCAATGACGTAATGCTTGCGAATAACACAAAAGTGTTCGTTGTTTAAAATGTAATTAAGTCAATAGTGGTTCGAATGAATATTGACCTCTTGGGTCCCTGGTTTGTTCTGATCTTATGCTGCTTTGCCACTTTCACAACTACTGACCCCGTAACCCAGCTTTCACTCTATGTCCACAGGAGTAGACAGCAAGATTTGATATGCTCAATATGAACCGACTTTTCTGAGGAATGTTTCACATGCCTTGTTGAATCTATGCCATTAAGAATTAAAGGAGGTGTGAAGGTAAAATGAGGATCAAGCCAACCCACTTTCTGACCAGAGTTCAGGTCAGAAAGTAAGCAGAGGCTGCAAATTTCATGTACAAACGCCTCAGCTGGAAACTGACTTGCCAAGGCGTCCTCTACACACCTGAAGGAGTGCTGCCGTATCAGGTGTCAAGACGCAACAACAGATCCAGAAGGTCCTGAAAGTTGTTGAGTCTTCTAGCATCTCTGATAGATGACTTTGAGAGAACTGGGGAATTAGGAGACGGAGCCAACAAGTCCAATATGTTGTTATTGTTGTGGTGGTTCTAAAATCGTCACTGCTAGCATTTTGCATGGCAGCAACACACATTATC